AAAGTTGGGGGTAGTATTATACTCGGATAAATATTTTTACTTGTGTATTTTAACCAAAATATCGGCTTAATTCACAAAATGCCTGAGTCCCGAAATGAGACCGTGTTGTAAAAATCAGTTGAAACGAGCTCACCTCTGACACTCCTCTGTGCTTCAGAGTGAGATAATAACAGATCCAGGCAGGAGACATGATGTAAAAAAAAGAGAAAAAAAAAAGCAGTCCTGTACCTTCGTAATGATAACAAACTAATGACATTAGTGTGTGACTGAGCTGCTCCTGGAACAACAACAAACACATGTTCTTCTGTAATGGCGGTGTTGTACGAAATCCAGTTCCCCTGTGAAAATCTGTTCCCCCTGTGTTGGGAGGCCTGGACCGGTGATTATCTCTAAGGTTAACCAGTAGGGGGAACAGATTTTCACAGGGGAACTGGATTTCGTACAACACCGCCATTACAGAAGAACATGTGTTTGTTGTTGTTCCAGGAGCAGCTCAGTCACACACTAATGCCATTAGTTTGTTATCATTACTAAGGTGCAGGATTACTTTTTACACTCTTTTTTTCACATCATGTCTCCTGCCTGGATCTGTTATTATCTCACTCTGAAGCACAGAGGAGTGTCAGAGGTGAGCTCGTTTCAACTGATTTTTACAACACAGTCTCATTTCCGGACTCAGGCATTTTGTGAATGAAGCCGATGTTTCAGTTAAAATACATAAGTAAAAATATTTATCCGAGTATAGTACTACCCCCCAACTTTATGGATGATTTTATGGATTTAATTTTACGTATTATACTTGAATAAATATGGTATGTAGCCAACGCTTCTCTGGAACGATCAAAAGTAAAACAATTAAGACTTGACAAAATTAAATTTAAGACCTTGGATGAAAATCTGGGTGTTTTTAAGACTATTTTAGGCCTAAAATTTTGATTTTCAAGTTTTAGACTTTTTCAGACCCTGCATGAACCCTGGTCATAAAGCTACAGTCGGAACAGAAACTGCACTGAAGGAAGTTTAGAGTGGGTTAATTCACCTGTGAGCGGTCCCACGTTCCAAGCGACGTTGTTGCACCATCCGATTGCCTGAACCCAGTGGATGGTACCAGTGTTGAGCCACACCAGGTCCCCCGGCCGCTGGATGAAACGGTAAACAGGCACGTTCTTCTCAAATAAGTCCTCCAGGTTTGGCCACCAAGACCCCATCAGAAAGTTTATGTTGTTCCTGTAAAAACACACAACACAAACACAAACAGACTTCAGCGTACAGAAAACTACTCTGGGTTCAGCTTGGTGATAATACTCAGTGCTACTGTACTTTTCACAGAAGTTGTTAATGACGCCCCAGTATGGTTCAGGCACAGCAAACCACTCACAGTCACCAGGACCAATGTTGATGTTGACTGAGCAGAAGTTATTATTCTCTTGATGCCCTAACAACAACAACAACAACAACAACAACAACACAAAGCACACTATGATTAAAGAAGGTTAAAGCCACACAGAGACCATGACTGCAGCGGAGCTCACCTGGAGTCCTGCTCCCTGGTACCTTCATGTACAGCTGCACCGTGTTCATGCCCAGGATGGTATGGCCAACATGACTCAGCAGGTTTCCAGCTGACACCACCCGGGAGAAGGCAGGCAGTTTACCCAGCTCCTGCAGCTGCTGCTTCCACCTGTCAGTGGGAACCTGTTAGTACAACTGGTGAGGACTGAAGGAAACTGGAATTTACTGAAGACTTTACTGACTTCTTCTCATCGGAGAGGTCGATGTTGGTGCCAAACTTCAGATGTTTGAACAGATTCTTCTTACGCCGCATGGCGCTGAAAAGCATGGCAGTAAAACTGGTTACACAAACAACAGTAAGACGAAGGTAAAGAAGACGTTTTATCATAGGTTCAAAGGATTTATAATCTGAAGTAAGAAACTGTTTCTGAGGTCCTTGTATAGTTTGGAACATGTTGGTGTTATTTTTGATCAGGACATGTCTTTTAACCCCCACATTAAAAATGTTACCAGGACCACCTTCTTCCACCTGTGTAATATCACTAAAATTAGAAACATTTTGTCCAAAAATGATGCAGAAAAACTGATTCAAGGCTGTTTTGACCAAAATCCACAATTTCCACAATGATGAACCTGCTTCTTGCCTGACCTTTCAGTCATGACCTTCAGGACAACTCTGAGTCAGTATGGACTCCTGCAAAAAAAATCCAACACCCAAACCCCCACCTCCTCACCTACAAAGACACAACTGTGGCCTCCAACAATCGGTGAGGGTATTGAGCTTGTACCTGTCTCAGTCTGTTACACATTTTTGGTCCGCAAAGCAGTTCTGGTTATTTAATTAGCATGAGGCACTTGATATCTCTTCTTTTCTGCAGCAAAATAACTAACATTAAGTTACTAATAAGATTACTAACCAACCACCTGTCTATCCAAATTGACAAAACTTTACAGTTTCTTAAACTGGGTCATTTGTCAATTAACTAATATAATAC